ATGATTGTTTTATGATTTGAAACTAGTCAAATATTTTTCCAATTTTTTGCTTTATTTGATTTTCTTCATTACATTTTTGTGCTACTACAAAGTTAAATTTCAAAAAGCCCGCTCGTGGCGGCCATATTGAATTTTAGTACCACTCCAACTTGATAGATGGCAGCACATCGACTCAAAATTTTACCACTGAGTTTCCTATCTATTCAAATTAGTAATCTATGGGCATAATGGTGAGCCCAACAGCTTTAGGTGAGGACGTTTTTTTTTTATTTTTTTTTAGAAGTTCGCCACAAGAGCACAAGAGGGAGGACCTTTTTTTGCTTAAGAACCTTTTTTATAGAGAATTCAGTAGAGAAGAAGTTTTTGCTTGAATACCTTCTTTTTAGAAATTAGATTTTGAAAAGCCTTAATGTTTTTATAAAATTGACGCGGGGCTCAAACTGGAAAATTGTCCCAGGGCCCGACCTGGCTCTCGGCGGCTCTGAATGTAGTAGTAATAAATGCAAATTAAGTTATAATAACCAAATGTTGTGCACATGAAAGCAACGAAAGTACCTATAAATTAAAAAATATTAAATTAAATAATTTAACGTGATATTTATATGTATTAATTACAACTTTCCGCCATGTCGGTAAAAAATAAAATTTGGATCTCATTCTGTATTATATTTGCAATATGTAGACAATATATGTAAGGTTACATTAATATGTGTTTTTATTTAAAATAACAATTATTTTGAAATACATTTTCGTAATTTTTAAAATACATTTTAAAACCAATATTTTAAAAAAAAATGTTGAAGCGCCCTAATTTTTACAAACTAAAATTAAATGTTACTTCATAAACGTTTTTTCCTTATAGAATTTGAGTAGATTACACCAACTCTTTATACAAAATGTAAGTTTAATATTAAGGTTTACCTAGTTGCCATTAGTGAGATATTTATGATGTAATGTCATTTTGTAAGAAGTAATTCTAAAATGTTATACCTATTAGTCTTCTTTAGATATATAAATAATAATCTAGGTATAGATATAAAAACCAAATTATATCATAACATACCTCTTAACAACGTTTTTATATCCATTTGTAATTACCTAATAACATTATCTTTTTTAAAGTTATAAGTTAGTTATAACTGGAGTTATAGCAACTACTGTAAAACTTATATTATAAGGTTGTATAAATCCACCAAAAGTCGCATAATAATATATAATAACAGAATATAGTGTATTAGAATAAGTTGTTGAATTTTTAAAAAAGTTATTGCAACGTCGGTATAACCCCTATATAACTTTTTGTGTTAATTGGAATTATTGCTCTATGGATGGTCTAATATTGTTATTTAGCAGTTTTTACTACAAGAAATCAATCAAAATTATATAATTAACGTATTTTTGAGATCTTGATTGGATGACACATTTGAACATTTAATATCTAGTAAACAAAATAAAGCTTTTCTAGGGCGAACATTTTATTTAAAAAGGTGGTAGAGGGTCTAAAATGATCTAAAAACAAAGAAGCAAAAATCTGGCCTTTTCATGTTTTGGCATACGTTTCCATTAAAAACTTACTTTAATTATAATAAACATAAAATAATACAAATTATTAGAAGAGTAAAGGTATATTACCATAGAAGATTCAGCTTCGTCGTCCCCACTCTTCCTCTAGCTACCATCTTCTATTTTTTAGTGGAATTGACACTTTCTAGAGTAATTCTACTATATATTCTTTAACTAAAATTAAATAATTTACAGGGCGTTCTTTAAAAAAAAAATAGCTCGTTGGGGTGTACCTACTAAAATAAGTCAAACTTTCAAGCATAAATACAGTTTGCTTTTATCTGGTAAATACACTAAATACCTATTACGAAGTGGTTGCCACTCGTTTTTGTACATATTGTTTTAATTAAATTCTTTGGAAGATATTTTTTAGAACTTCCTTCAAATAATGTTTCTGATAAGATAGTGAATAATTTTTAGAAACTTACAATAAAAAAAGCATGATAAATATCGCAAATACATAATGAATTAAAAAAAAAACGATTCACCCGTATAAAATAAGTGGATTATCGTGGATCACCTTGTATAATATATTTTACCTCAATAATATAAAGTTTTTTTTACTAATCTCTGGGATTTTAATATTATTCCACAAGTAGTCCACGCGAGACAAATCGGACTATCAAAACTCAAGTTATAATATTGCAAACCCTCTTTCAAATTATTTAGCCGCCAACATATATTAAAACGATGATATTTATCAAAAGAATAAAATTCACCTTTTATTTTCCACATGGTTTACTTTAGATATATTTTCAGTTTTTCAGAAAGCACTTAAAAGAGCATTGCATAATAAAAATGTTTATTTCATCATCGGTATTGCATTCCATAAATTTTTAAAATACTTATAACGAAATTTTATTTTCAAGAATAACGGAAACTTTATGGTTCTAATTAGGTACCCAGCGTAATGTATAATTGATTCCCCTATTTTTGTTTATACGAAAATAATATAGTGCATTATTTATTCATATAATCTGAGTCAGTATTTTTTATCTTTTTAATAACGCTCAGTTAAACTATTTATTTACTTTTTATTAAAAAAAAAAAAAATGAATTTAACATGAAATGAGTTTAATTTGTTTCCGGATCATAGTCTTCCCAGAATTCTATTGAGGATGACTAAGGGAAAACTAAATCTGCAGATCTGTATAATTGCCATCATTAAACAAGACGTCATCATCAGAAAAAATCAAATTAATTAATAGTAAATGTTAGGTGGGGGAAGATCGGAAGTATAATAAAGAGAGAGATGCGTTTCAATCGAGTGGTATTACGTTAAACGCAGTATCCACGCGAACTCGTGAGATAAAAACTGAGTTCGCAATATAAGATTTCGTGTTACCATCTTCCTCAGTTGATCAGGAAGTTGGGAGATTCTTTCAATTAAACTAGTGGTTGTTTGTGTTTTTCTAAACTCTGTGCTCCAGGTGGTTTCTACAATACACATTCTTGAGCAGGAAGGAAAATATACTTATTTCGTAAGATTATACAAGTAAGTAGTAATTTATTTTTCATCATCTGTTACCATTTATGTATATAACCACAGAAAGTTTTATTTTCAAACTGAATTTAACAATACTTATGCCTGAGCAAATAAATATTGTGGATTGGATAATGCAATAAGTAGTTTAAAGTATATAGTTTTTAAGGTACAAAGCCCAATTATCTTATAAATAACATAATTACTTTAATAATAATTGTAATACCTACCATTACCATTAAATTTTATTCGAATACACGCAATTTTTATCTAATAAAATTATAGTACAAAATTGCAGATTTTTTGTTTTACATAAATTTCCATTTATTTTAATGTTTTTTAAATAATTATAACATTTAATTGGAATATTATATAAGCATTTTCTTAATTAGTACTTGAAGCAATTTTATACGTATACCAACTGAAGCAAGAATATAAGAAATTGTACACCAATGACCTTGTTCTTAATTTTATAAAAAAAAATTAAAAGAGTTCTCTTATTATTTCTTAGCAACATTTCTGATAAAAAATGCAGGTAAATAATTTCTGACCAATAATTAAAACTTAAAATAACTATAAATGAATTAGTACAGAATAAGAACTAAATAAAAATCTTTTAAAGTGAAATTCAACTAAGTACAAGTTATTAAGTAGGTAGGTAAATTATTTATATCATCTCATGATGACCCAGTGACCATATTACATTTAAGATGGTTCAAACACTATTTTAATCAGGAATTGATATATTAACTTACACACTGTTTATAAATAATCCATCAATTAATATTTAAGTAAAATACCCAATATACAAAAATTAATTAATACAAGAGTATCTAAGTTATATTTGAAAATATCAAAAGATTTTCATACTACAATATTTAAATAATTTTTCGACTATCTTGCTCTCGACCAAAAACTGAACTTCTGCGGACATTAATTTATAATGCTACATTATTCTATTTACCACCCGTAAAAAATAAAATCCTAAATGTACGAATATACTACAGACAGTGTCGCGATAACAACATTGTAAACGCGTTATTCCACCTCGCTTTCTATTTGGCATGTATAGAGGGTGTGTCATATAAAACTCTCATTGCCGTTTTCTCCTAGCACAAACGGCTTAGACTAAATGCAACGGTCGCAAAATTATTGTTATCAAATCTCCGTTCAAATGAATCGTCACACCATTGTACAAAGAAAAATATTACAAGTAGATTTAATATAAATAAATATTAAAAAAAAAAAATTATATTTATTGAATAAATTGTATGATAAATAATAAGAAATCAAACTAAAATAAAAAGTATACTTTCCTTAACCTTTTTTTTTAGTTTTTACGTTTAGTGCAACTTTTACAATTATGGAAATCTTATTTTATGACCTTAGACCAGAGGTTCCCAAACTCTTTTGTTTCATAGGCCACTTTCAAAATTTTGCTAGATCCGGTGGAATACATCACTACCATTTTCTAAATTTCTAAAGTTTTAACGACGAATTGACAGTTTTCGAAAAAAAAAAGGTTAGAATTGATTGCTTGATAGGGTTAATTATTTGATAATAAAGTCAACTAAATTTTCAATTAAATTTTAATTGATTGTGCTGTGAGTGGATGTCAAAAAAGCAAAGTTGGCAAACGAAAAAGTGACTCCATCCAACTTTACTTTTTTGAAATCTACAGTGACTCACAGCACAAGAACCAATCAATTCTCACAAATTTTATTTAAAAAAGGTCCCATTCGGAGTGGCAAAAAGAAATGTAGTATATTTCCTTGTGTTGTAATTTATTTAAATTTAAATATATAAATTATTATGCTATTAATTATTATTGTTATAACCGTCGTAATATAATTAAAATTAAACATTTATAACGTAATGTAATTTCTACAATGGTAATTACAAAAAAATATAATTTTAATGAGAGGGATGTACTTGATGGATTGACAGCAAATTATCAATATTTAGCTTGAGTTTTGTAAGGAATAACCGTAAATCTCCCCTTTCCGTGATATTCAATCTGCTCCTTTTTTTTTGTTAATAAGTTTGTAACGGCACTAAAACTTTTTTCGACGAGATATGGCGAGGGAAACGCTATCAGAATCTTTTGCACAATTCCCCACAGTCCAGGATATTTTTCGGGTATTTCTGCCTGCAGCCAAAATTTTTGATACCCTCTTTTAAATGCCACTTTCAGCTCCTCATTAGTGCTAAGCTCGAGTAGCTCCTCTTGTAATATCACATTCTCCACTTCCATTTCATCAAATGGATTTATGATCCATGGTGGTATTTCCATCGACAGAATATCTTCAAATCTGAATTTAAAATCATCATGCAGGACAATCAAATGTTGAACGTATGTCTGAATATCTTCATCAAGGCATTCTACCTTCGACAAGTTTGAAAACTGTGAAAATTCGTCGCCGACCAATATTTTCCTTCGTAAATTTTAGTTTACCAAGAAAAGCTGAAATTACACTCTTTGTTTTTATTAAATTGAGGCTGTCCCAATTGTAAGTTGAACAAATCTGTCAAATACGCGATGTTTGCTTTAAAATTGCTCAAGTTTTTTTTTAAATCAGGATCTTTACTTTCCAAAAACTCTAAAACTGAGTCAAAAAGTAAATAAAATCTTGATAAACATGCATCTTTCGACAACCAGCGTACTTCGGTATGTAACAGCAATCGTTGGAAGTTTCATCATTTTCTTCTTCATGAATTTCTTCGCCCATAACAAATTGAACATATGCCAATAATAATGCTTCATTACTTTAATTAAATTACTTTAATTGAGATTCCAATATAACACTAATTTTATTTCGGTCAGTTGCCAGTATATATGTTTTTAGTTTCTTTTTGAATACAGTTTTATTTTTTATATTTTTTAGATCATTTGGAAGACTTTATTATTGATTTTTGTGCGATATGTGTGTAGGATCTTTGGAAATGAATTTTTTACTAGGGGTTAAACGGTAATCATTTTTTGCCGAGTATTATGGGAGTGTTCAGGAAATTCTTTATTTTGGGATGAGTAAAATTTAGTATTGGTCCAATAAAAAAATAAGTCCATGATATGGCATTCTTCATAAGGAAGATCAGACGGATAAATAGATTTTTTAGACATAATTAATTTTAAAAACCTTTTTTGTATTATCTCCAGCGAATTTAATTGTACTCGTAGAGTTCCGCCCCATATGATTATTCCGTATCGCAAGTGACTTTCCACTAGGGAGAGCTATAAACTTTCATCAAATTTCGTGGCAAGCATTTATTTAACTGTTTAACTTTGTATAAGATTGTTTGCATTTTTGTAATTACATAATTATTATGGATATCCCATTTAAGGTGTGCATCTATAAAAGATTCATAAGTATTTTACCTACGATACGGAAGTTATTTTGTTATTGGAGGCATCATTGTTAAGATGTTGAAAGGTACAACTTTGTTGCAGCTAAAGGGTAAAAAGAAGGTTTTATCCATATTAATATATAAGAACCTGTGGTCAAACCAATTTTTTATAATGCGGAAGGCGTTTTCTGCTTTGTCTTTTAATTCTGACCATGTGTGTTCAAAGAAAATAGCTGTATCATCAGCGTAGCCTATGATATCGCCCACCTATTTTTAGAGAAAATATATTATTTACGTATAAATTGAAAAGTACAGGCTCCAATAGAGTCCCTTGAGGAACTCCATAAATTATTTTTCTTTCATCTTTTATTTCATTTTCCAATTTTACCATTTGAGTTCTATTTTTTAATAACTTTGAAAAATGGCAAAGCAATTTCCTCCACTAACATTAGACATAGGTAATTAAAGTATAATTAATTCCTAAATTAAAAAAACCTTTATTTAACAGATTGACTTATTGTCAGAACATACTAAGAAATATTTCGTAAAAATTGCTATCTCCGTTTTTTACCAAGTAGCCTTCTCTAATGTTACGTTTAATTTGAAATTATACAAAAACCGGCCAAGAGACGACCGTGGAATTTACCAGTCGGTAGAGCGGAAAATGCTATAAGTAGATACAACCACGGAATATATACAAACCGGAACCGACTCTTGGCTAATATCATTGTTTTTGTTTTAGCAGCTTTTTGTGACCTTGACGAACCGCTTACAATAAGGTTCTTTACTTCGCTATTGGTGCAGTATACACCAGTGTCAATTACACCACACCAGATGTTGAGCTATTTTGTGTTGTAATATAAACCAACGAAAGCTTTAGAGTTGATCTGTGTAAAAATAACCTAATAAATAGGTAATTTATTATCAATAATTTGCTGCAAATAATTTATATTGAACGTTTCATTGTTAGATTTATAGATTGGTTCCAAACATGATACAAACTTTTTAATCACGCGAATTTAAAAAATTGGAACGGCATTTTTAAATTTTGCGATCTTGAATGTTCTAGAAATTGACTGCACTTATTTATTAGAAAGGTTGGTTCTTGTATGAAACATAATCTGCAAGAAAAACCTTATTTACCTATAGTTTACTACCTTTCCTATTCCTTAAGCACATGTCGAGTGTAATTTACTCGTGCTGAATACATAGATAAATAAGTAATTTTTGAAACGTAGTGCTGAATAAGAAGCAGAATAATAAAAAAAGAAGAGTAACTTACCTTTTTTGGTAATATTTATATTAATATATTGAAATTAATATAAACATTAGTTTTTTAAGTAATAAGATGCCAAAAAAAAAAAATAATATTTATATTAAAATAAAATATTTGAAACATATGTCAGGGTGTTTCAAAGGTGCCCCGTTGCTAGGATTGGTAAAAAACTGCAAAATAAGTTGGGTTTTCTTAGTAAAAAAATTTTCGTAACGGCATCCGTTTTCAAGATATAGGGTACTGAAAAAAATGTTTGCACGTTTTTTACGATTATATCGAAACTACTGGCAACATTGTAATAAAGTTTTATACGAATATGTTTTGAAAGCTGATACATCGCATAAATTTGTTTTTATATCTGCCTATCATAGAGGGCGCTAGTTACACGGTTCGTACCGAGTAGTTTTAAACATAATTTTTTTGAGGTTAAATTTTCTAGTCCAAATTTTATGTGAACTCAAACATCATTCAATTTTACAGTAAAAAGGTACTCCTGGTAAAACTCGATACTGTCTATCGTTTTTGGAATATTTTGATTTAAAAATGATGAAGTAATAACTGATATTGGTATGAAGTAATAGTAATTTACGTTACAAGACCGGAAAGTAGTGTTTTGCAGGTCGAGACAAGCAGATTCCAGGGCGAGCCGTAGGCGAGACCTGAAAGCTTAGAGAGACCGGTATCGGGACAGATCCGCCCCTGTACATTTGAACCCTCGATACATTTGAGACCCTCTCTTGATTTTTCGAATAATGATAAAATCTAAGTGGGACAGTTGCGACCCTACCCCTGTTAATCCCACACAGACGTCGAATAATAAAAATAGATTTTTTGGTTTACTGATATATAAAGGGTATTTTAGAGTACGTTAACTGTAAGTGTAATTCGGTATAAAAATTTCCAATTTGGCATGTAGAATCATTTCCATATTGCAAAAATAGTGAAATAAAAATAATAGTTTAAATCCAGGTCCGGTGTAACAAAATTTGATCATTTTTTTTCGTTTCAAAAACAACACCCTGTGTAACCAAATTTATATCTGATTACATATTTAAAAATGGCGGAAAAAGTGTCTTTTAAATATAACTTCACTAAGATAATAGTAATTTGTACACAACACTTATATTATAATTTATTTACCAAGAAAATATTTGTTTAAATCTACTTAATGCCTTTTAGAGGAGCAATTACGTTTATAGTCCATTGCAAATTTTAAAGCAAAAAACACATACGCTGGGTTTGCTCCAAAGGGAAGTCCGAGATGTGACCAATAACGATATCATTCAACATACTGGGGGGACCACAATAATTGTAAACCTGATACCGCTGCAGTAGATGTGAAGAAGCGAGTTGCCGAAACTCGTAAAAGGACTCGAGAAGAGGATGTATCAGATACTGTAATGTGTTGCCTAGCAACCTTGTTTTTATTTTAGAACGAAATACTTTTTACTTTTTTTCAAACACAAATATTTCGATCTTATCTATTTGACAGTAAATAGTAATCATATTTAACTATGGAAACAATGGCTCAATTGCAGTTAAGGTAATTATGTAAAATCGCTGTTTTTTTTTAATTTTAATCACCATATCTATTTTTTATTCTTTTTAAAAAGTATTATAAAGACAGGATGAAATAAAATATAATACGACACACGTCCGTTAAGTGTTATTACTAAGGCTGATTTTAACCGGTTTTGGTTTTAACCGAATATTTACTATTATTATAACCGGTCCGATTATCCTGTTAACCGGTTAGATTATCCGGTTAACCGGTCAGATTATCCGGTTAACCGGTCCCATTATCCGGTAACCGGTCCGCTCAAACCGAGCAAGTCGAAACGGACCGGTTAGACCGGATTCGGCAGTTTAATCGTAACTGTTACCAGTTAAACCCGTCACTGATTTATCCGTTACTGGTTTAACTGGAACCATCACCGGCTTAATCGTGGCAAAACACATCCACCAAATCCTTTGTTTTCAATAGAAATGGGGTCACTTTATCAACCATTTCACCTTTCCTTACCCATGACAAGCAGGCAGTGCATACTTGATTTTTTTAAAATAGACACTCACTAAATAAAAATTAAAGTAGAATAATAGAAATACTACCAATTTTACTTTTGCTAAACTTTATTTAAAATTTAAAAAAGGACAAAGTCCACTCACTTTCCACTGGGTGGGTGAGTAGGTAAAACCAAAAAAACAAAAATATAAACTATATTCAAGTAAAAAAAACATTCAAAAATAAATTATAATTAATTGAGACAAAATAAGAAATAATAACAAATACCTAATAACAAAACTGTCTACTTTTTTATTATTGAGTTTGGATGCAAAAAAATCAACTTATTAACGTTTTCCGGCAGCAAGCAGTTTCTTTTCGCCGCCGAAACTGTTTCCTCCACTGGAAAACACCCGTTCACTGGAAGTTGATGTGGCTGGAACACATAAACACGGTTATATGGTTATAAACCTGTTACGGTTAAACCGGTTACAGTTAAACCGGTTCCGGTTAAAACGGGTTCCGGTTAAACCGGTTACGTACTAACGGTTTTTTGGTCCTACGGAATCGGTTAACCGGTCACGGTTACCAGCCCTAGTTATTACATTACTCGTTTATATACAACTCATACTGTAATAAGTCACCTACCGGACTTTTAACGTAAAATACTATTACAGTTTTTTCATTATTCGACGTCTGTTTCGGTTATGCATTATTAGTAGGCATTAGCAAGTATCCCATTAATAGAGGTAGGGTCTCAAATGTCTCATTTCAATTTTATCATTATTCAAAAAATAAAGAGTAAGTCTCAAATGTATCGAGTGCACAAATGTACGGGGGCGCATCTGTCCCATATTCGAGAGACCTACTTAACACTAATTTTTAGTCACGTTACGTTCTATATTTTTTTAAGACCGACATCTCGATGTAAACTCGATTATTTATTTTATTTAATAAATTGATTAACAAATACTAAAACTAGATAATGAATACAACTGTATAAACTAACCAAATACATTATTTTTATGTCAGATAATTCAAAATCTAAATCCATAGTAACGAAATCAAGGCAGACTGTATTTTCAAACAGCGATCGTAAAAATGAA